CTCCCCTCCCCGCCCAGGGACACCCAGCTGCAGGAGATGACTGAGTCCCCTCCCCTCCCCGCCCAGGGACACCCAGCTGGGGGAGATGACTGAGTCCCTCCCCTCCCCGCCCAGGGACACCCAGCTGCGGGAGATGACTGAGTCCCTCCCCTCCCCGCCCAGGGACACCCAGCTGGGGGAGATGACTGAGTCCCTCCCCTCCCCACCCAGGGACACCCAGCTGGGGGAGATGACTGAGTCCCTCCCCTCCCCGCCCAGGGACACACAGCTGGGGGAGATGACTGAGTCCCGCCCCTCCCCGCCCAGGGACACACAGCTGCGGGAGATGACTGAGTCCCTCCCCTCCCCGCCCAGGGACACACAGCTGCAGGAGATGACTGAGTCCCTCCCCTCCCCGCCCAGGGACACACAGCTGCAGGAGATGACTGAGTCCCTCCCCTCCCCGCCCAGGGACACACAGCTGCAGGAGATGACTGAGTCCCCTCCCCTCCCCGCCCAGGGACACCCAGCTGGGGGAGATGACTGAGTCCCCCCCCTCCCCACCCAGGGACACCCAGCTGGGGGAGATGACTGAGTCCCCTCCCCTCCCCTGCCCAGGGACACACAGCTGCAGGAGATGACTGAGTCCCTCCCCTCCCCTGCCCAGGGACACACAGCTGCAGGAGATGACTGAGCCCCCTCCCCTCCCCGCCCAGGGACACCCAGCTGGGGGAGATGACTGAGCCCCCTCCCCTCCCCACCCAGGGACACACAGCTGCAGGAGATGACTGAGTCCCTCCCCTCCCCGCCCAGGGACACACAGCTGCAGGAGATGACTGAGTCCCTCCCCTCCCCGCCCAGGGACACCCAGCTGGGGGAGATGACTGAGTCCCTCCCCTCCCCACCCAGGGACACCCAGCTGGGGGAGATGACTGAGTCCCTCCCCTCCCCGCCCAGGGACACCCAGCTGCAGGAGATGACTGAGTCCCTCCCCTCCCCGCCCAGGGACACACAGCTGCAGGAGATGACTGAGTCCCTCCCCTCCCCACCCAGGGACACCCAGCTGGGGGAGATGACTGAGTCCCTCCCCTCCCCGCCCAGGGACACACAGCTGCAGGAGATGACTGAGTCCCTCCCCTCCCCACCCAGGGACACCCAGCTGCGGGAGATGACTGAGTCCCTCCCCTCCCCCGCCCAGGGACACCCAGCTGGGGGAGATGACTGAGTCCCTCCCCTCCCCGCCCAGGGACACCCAGCTGGGGGAGATGACTGAGTCCCTCCCCTCCCCGCCCAGGGACACCCAGCTGCGGGAGATGACTGAGTCCCTCCCCTCCCCGCCCAGGGACACACAGCTGCAGGAGATGACTGAGTCCCTCCCCTCCCCGCCCAGGGACACACAGCTGCAGGAGATGACTGAGTCCCCTCCCCTCCCCGCCCAGGGACACCCAGCTGGGGGAGATGACTGAGTCCCTCCCCGCCCAGGGACACCCAGCTGCAAGAGATGACTGAGTCCCTCCCCTCCCCACCCAGGGACACACAGCTGTGGGAGATGACTGAGTCCCGCCCCTCCCCCTGCCAATCTCGAGGTCAGCTGACCCAGACACACAAACCCGCATGCCAGGACACTCCTCTGAGCTGACGGTCCCTTCGTGGGTCTCAGGGCTCTGACACCCCCCCCCCCAGGTAAAGAAGCTTCTGGAAAGCTAGCCCAGCGGCAGAGCGGCCGAGAAAGGCATCGTGGGCCAGGCGTGAACCCCTCCGTGGGTCTAGGGTTTGGCAGCCTCTCCATCCCGGGCTTTGTTTTCAGACTTCCTCACGGTTTCACCACGGGCGCCGTCCGCCAGCGTGGGGCGTCCACACGGAGCCGTGCACTGGGCCGAAGTCACCGAGGGAACCCCGGACCCCGCGCCCCAGACGCTGACCCCGATGTTTCTAGGTGCTTTACCTGGGAAAAGCGGGTGGCGCTGGAGACCTTGTGTTATAACCCAGTAATTCTCCATCTGCTAGAAGAAGGAACCTCTCCTGGGTTCCTCGAACCCGAGTTGTTTTTGCAAAAATTCTTGAAGAGGAAGGTGTGCGTCAGCCATGACCACAAGGGGATTGACCATGAGCTTAACTAATCAGGAGATGCCAGACGGGGCAATGAGACATTCAAGGCTGGGGTCTAGTAAATGTTAAGAAATATAAAATAAACAACGTGTGCAGCTACTAACTGCTGATATCTGCTTCTGTACACACAGCTTGCTTGCTCTGCTAAACTCTTGAGTGACCCCTGTCCTATATAAGCAGCCCTCCCCCTGAGCTCGGGGCTGCAGTTCTCCTCGGTGTAGGTTGGCTGCAGTCCCTGCGCAGGTAATAAAGCTCCTAATATTCAAAACTACTCTGTGTCCGAGTGAGGTTGATTCTCCTGGGTTACAACACTTGTCACCACATGAGGTAGATAATTCACCGGGAAGGGTGACGCGGGGGCAAACTCTATGCCCTAGGGACATGACGGTGACCTTCGGCTAAAGGTATTCCCGCCGCTGGGATCTGCTCGTCACTCGCTGGGATGTCTCCTCCCTTCTCCTTGGGTTTCAGCGCTTGTGTCTAATTAGTGAGGAAAAGCCCCCATCCCCAGACTGAGCGGAGTCTTGTCTGCCCGATGCCCACACACCTCGTTTCGCAGGTGGCTGGGAGTTTGGCGGAAATGATGAGATGCATCTTTCCGAGCCTTGTGGCCTCAGGGGGATGGATCTCGTTCCGTAGCGGCGAGAGGTCGAGCACCTGGTGGGTCAGGACACGAGTGTCTGGACAGAGGGCAGGAGGACGGTGGGACAGTCATCCCTCCAGGCTGACCGGCTGCCTACGGACCCCACCCGGGGTCACGGCTCGCCTGGCGCCCACATTTTCTTGGTTGCACGCTTGTTATCACCCACACCGGTCCTTCCGGTGCCAAGTCGGTGGAGACAGGCAGCTGCCTGTCCCTCGGGAACGGCCACGAAAGAACAGACACGCTCGGGGTCGGGTGGAGTCCGTGTCGGTAACACACGGGTGCTGCCCGGCCGTGGTGTGCTGGTCGGTGGTCACCCACCGCTCTCAGGGCAGAAGAGACCTGGTTGGTGGCCTCTGCTGATGCTCCGAGTATGGCTGTTCCCCCCGTGGCGAGGTCGCGCCCCTGAGCACGGACACGGACGGCCATGCCCGCCGGCTGCGCCGGGCACCGTGAGCACACCTCCACCTGCGGCGGGAAGGTGCGCAGGCCCGGAAGCTGTGTCCGGCTCTGGAACGGTCTCCATGGAAACCTGGAGCCTCGACAAGACGAGGCCAGCCCCGTTATTTGTTTTCTAAAGGAGAAGGCTGTGTAATGAGACGTCTTTTCAAATAGACACGCACAGCCCTTCCCTTTCTCTCGATGCCGGGGCCACCGTGGAAACCGACAGGCTGCTCCCCGTGTGTCCCTGGCGGACCACGCCCCTCCTCGCCCCCCCCCCCCACCTCGGAAGTCAGGCCCGTGGAGCTGGAAGGGGAGGAGGAGATGCCCACCCCTCCCATCCCTTCCACCCAGAGGGACCACCAAGGACGAAGATACCTGCTTGTAGCCCTCACATGTGAACAGGGACGGACGGGGCGGAGAGTGTGCCCACCCCCTTGTGTTTGCTGACTCCTGATGGGGCTGCTACGGCCAGCATAGGATCACAGCTGTAATTCGCAATATACACCCCCTCTGCCGTCATAGCCGGGCACACTCTCCCGCTCCCCTCAGACACCTCTGCTGCGTGTCGACAGACTTACAGAAACTGGGATAATGGAACCGGTGCGCTAAAGTCAAGGCCGAGACCCTGCTCGGGGCAGTTCTTGTCTGTGCATCTCGAAGGACGTGCCAGACCGGATGTGAGAGACCAGGTGAAATGCTTCCTGCGCGTTCAGGTCCCACATGGGGGTCAGGGACCAGCCGGCCACCTTCCTCCCGCCTCCTCGGCTCCAGACTACGGCGCAGAGAAGGTGACTTCAGGGTCAGACTTCGGAGAACACCATTACGCCCTGGCCAGTTAGGCTCAGCGGTAGAGCGTCAGCCCACGGACCAATGAGTCGCGGGTTTGATTCAAGCCACAGGCTTGTACCTTGGTTGTGGTTCGTCCCCGGCCCTGGTCAGGGTTGTGTGGGAGGCAATCAGCCGATGTGTCCCTCTCACGTCAATGTCTCTCTCTCTCTCTCTCTCTCTCTCCCCCTCCCTCCCTCCCTCCCACTCTGTCTGAAGATAAATAGAAAAACCTTCTCGAGTGAGGATTAAAAAAAGAGAGAGAGAGAACACAATTACATGTGTTACCTGCCTGTTTAAACATGTTTGTGCTTGGATTGTCCACACACACACAGGTCAGCCTTGGGGGCGGGCACGGAGCACATTCAGGCCAGTGTAAGTGTTTCTAAGACTGGTCAGCAGCCACTGGGGATGCGCTGTGTGGGACGATTCCCCTCGGGCACAGGGCCCCAGGTCCCAGCGCGGCACAAGGGAGCCAGTCCAGCTGAGAGACATCTGGGTGGAAGCGGCCACCACCGCCACGTGGAGAAGAGCAGCCAGGCCACGCGAGCGGCCGCCCGGCCACTGCCGTCCGTGCTCCCAGCAGGGCGGGTGCCCAGGAGCCCGCGCCCTGCAGCATGGAGCCCGGTGCCCCGTGCTCAGGAGGCAGGTGGGCCCTGCGCTTCCCCACCTGCCTCCAGCAACACACGTCCTCGCCCACGACGGGCTGAGTTCACCTCCAGGAGCCTCCGTGAGTCTAGGAGCTCCAAGTAGCTGCTCAGAAAGGCCGTCCGCAGCACGTGCCCGGCCGTCCTTCGGTGATCGACAGGGACAGCTCAGCAGCTGCCCCTGAGGGGCTGGGAAGCAGCCTCCAGCGCCCCTACCAGCCAAGGACGCAGCTGGCTGGCCGGCCGGGTGGTGGCGGCGGCGGTGTGGCCCGGGGCCCAGCCCTCCCGCCTCTGCCCGCAGCCTCCTTCCACGCGTGCGGCAGGGGGCCTTCACTCCGAGACGGGAGGGGCCTTCACTCCGAGACGGGCAGGACGTTGCGGCTGTGGGAGCCCCCGGCCAGGCCCGAGGAGCGGAGGGAGCGTCTGTGGAAGACCCTGTTCAGAATCTCCTTGTAGCTCCTGCGGTACTGGTGCCGCAGCAGCGAGTACACGAAGGGGTCCGACGCCGCCTTGCCGTAGGCCAAGCACTTGGACAGCACCCCCCAGTGGGCGGCGATGGGCACCGTGGACAGCTCCAGCAGCCTGCGGAGAGACGGAGGTCGTTACTGCGAGGGCACCCCGCCTGGCGTGCTGGCCAAGCCTGTGTCCCCAGCCTGCTCCCCAGGGAACGCGGGCCACCAGGGCGACGGCAGCGGGCACTTCTCACTCCAGGGGCTACAACTGCGCACCTTCCGCGTCTGGCTTCACGGAGACCTCGGAGGCAGGACCCTCTCCGTGTGACACGTGAGGGCACAGACGTCCAAGGACAGGGAGTCCCTGGGCCAAGGTCACAGGACCAGGGCATTATCGAGGCGGGACTGGAACCCGAGCTCATCGGAGAAACGGGCTAATCGCTAATACTGTCCTGGCCACTGGCCCCACCTCCGCTGCTGACCAGCTGGTGACCCTGGGCTGGCGGTTTCCCTTCCTCGTGCCTGGATGCTGTCTGCGGGGAAGACAGTGCGGTGCGACCGTGTCTGCGGCCCTCCGAGTGGGAAGGCCGAGGCTTTGCTTCCGGCCCGGCTCCCCACAGCAGGCTGCCCGGGAGGAGGCTGAGCAGGGCCTCGCAAACATTCTGCAGTCGGAGCCCTTCTCGCGCCGGGAAAGAACCCGCTGGCCAGGAGCCTCTTCCCGGGGCTGGTGGCCCGTGGCAACAGCGGCAGTCGGGGTCCCCTGGAGGGGCGAGGGGAGGTGAAGCTATGTCAAGGGGCACAGCCTGAGAGTCCTCCCGGGACCCATCCTCCAACCCCTTCAGGGGTGCTGCCGCCAGGCGGGCAGCTTCCTCTGTGAAACCCCCCGAGTGATGCCCCCGTTCTCTCTCAGGCGTGCCCAGCGCCCTTGGCCACGTTGGACGTTATTCAGCATTAACTAAGGTAGAAAAGGCCCAGAGCTGGGGGAGAGCTGAGAGGTCACAGGTCGCCCTCCCCCCTCCCACAGTCCGGCGGGCAGGGAGGGAAGGTCCCCCGTCTGGGGTGGCGCCTGCAGCACACTGTCCTCTTCCCTCCGCGAGGTGGGCGCCCCAGCTGAGGACACAGGTACGGAGGGCGGAGCGTGGGCGGGGACTCTGGCTGCCCTTCTGTGGGTGAGGCTGGGAGGCCAAGCCCGTGGAGGGACCAGGGGAGGCCGGTGGCCATGACCCTCACACAGTTCCTCAGGCAGTCCATTCGGGGTCCCCAGTCGGCTTCCTCAGCACCACTGTCTGCCCGGCCCTCTGGCCCACGGGGGATGTGGCCACCTTCCCGTTCACGTCCTCGGGAGCCCGGCAGGGACAATGAGCTGTGAGCATTTGGGGGACCCGTACTTCTAAGAAATCTATTTGGGGGAGTGATGCATGTAAGGAGCCCCCCCCCCCATTTAGAATTCACACCTAACAGGCTCAGTGAAGTCGCTGGAGGCCAGCAGGTGCTGCTGTGGACACCGAGGGCTCTTCCGAGGTGTCTGGTCTTCCCTGTGCCGCCTGCTCAGTCCTACCACCTTGGTTGTCCCAGAGGAGTTATTATAAGAGTCGCACAGCATCGAACCACCCAGCAGGATCAAAGTGATTATTTGCAGGTTCACAGAGCACAATGACTCCATCAAATTTCACCGCTGAGACAACTAAGAGGTAAAATTACTGCATTTGCTTCCCAGGGACTTTCTGTAGAACCTGGGCTCCCCTGCTCAGTGCTGGTACTTCCCAGTGAAAGTCTCCTTCGGGCCAGGTCCTTGAGGCACACACTCTGACCTTACGATGATCCCGCGGAGGGGGCTGCATTCCCATTTTACAGACCAGGACATCGAGGCCCAGAGACCGAGCAGCAGGCCAGTGTCCCCTCCATGGAAAACCCGGCTCCATCTAACGTCATCCAAGCCCCGACTTGGGGCCACCCAGGGATGCAACTCTCAGCAATGATTTGGGCGAGGTGAGCTCTGGGGCCCTTCGAGCCCTGGGAACAGTGTGTCCACGAGGTTGCCACGAGCCACCCAGGACGCCCATCACTTCCCCGGCGGACAGCGCACAGGAAGACTCCTGCTCTGTAAGCTCATGTCGGGGTCTCCAGGCAGAGATACTCGGGGTCAGCACAGGCCCGGCCACCGCTCCGGTGCGGCCACTGGGGGAGGCTGAGGCCGGCCGGGGTGCCCCTGCCAGGCTCACGGGTGGCTGGCCTGCCGCCAGCTTTCCCTGCGCACTTGGGGGCCCGTCCGCCACCACAGCCGTGCACCTGCAGCGGCCGGCTCTGCTCTGTCCCGGCTCTGATGGCTCCAAGGCCCATCTGCGCCAGGGGACCGACGGGCAGGATTTCCATGCTGCCCTGGTGGCTTCTTTCTCACTGCAGATCTGAGCAGGTGTTTGTACGATCACGTGATCCCGTCAGACCACCTCTCACAGAGGGACACTCAGCCATGTTCCCGCCAGGAGAGGGGCGTCCTTGTTCAGGTCGGGCGCGGTGGCCCTGCCCGTGGAGACAGCCCTGCTCTCCTGCTGCGTCCCTGCTCCTGTCGGTCTATTGGCCCCTTTCCTGCCCCCACCCGGCTCTGACCGAGAGCCCCGCGTTAGGGAGCACCGGGCCCGGGTGCGAATGAAGCGGGATTGGTTTCCGTTTCTCACAGCCCCCGTTGGGTGGAACTGTGCCTCCTCGATTCCTACGCTGAAGTCCTACCCCAGGACCTCAGAAGACCTTCCTCGGCAACAGGTCCCCGCAGAGGGAATTCAGGAGGTGAGGTTATTGGGGTGGGCCCTAGTCCCTGATGACTGGGGTCCTTATAAAGGGGGTCAGTTGGACAGGACGCACACAGAGAACAACATGTGACCATAAAGGCGGAGGTGGGGTGATGTCCTCTGAGCTGAGGGACACCAGAGACTCCCAGCGGACCCCAGCAGCTGGGGGGGCCTGGAGCAGACTCTCCCTCAGCCTCCGAAGGCACCGGCCCTGCCAGCACCTGATTCTGAGCTTCTGGCGCCCAGGACTGAGACGGCACATTTCCGCTGTGGAAGCCACTCAGCCGTGCCCCCCGCAACGCCGGGCAAGGTGCCCCGCGAGCAGCCGAAGGTGGGGTGAGGAGGTCGTTCAGCCCCTGTGGCTGGTCATAGGCCGCACCCCATTCCTGGAGCCCAGTGTGGACCAGGGGGGGGGGCAGCTGCCGAGGCCTTGGTGCCCCCTCCTTGACCTCACGCCCCACCCTGCCTGGCCTTCCACTCAGCACCAAGGTGACTTTCCGTGTGTTGCCTGGGTGTTCCCTGGGGAAACCTCTGCTACTCGGCTCCGCTCGGGGGAAAGGCTTACGCTTCTGTGCTCAGAGTGACCCGCCGCCCTGACCCGCCTGGCACAGCGCTCCCTCCAGCTCTCCCGGAGAACACCCTGGGCTGAGCCCAGTGCAGAGGTCAGGGTGGGGGGGTGGGGGAAGGGAGGGGAGGGAGGGGGAGGAGGAGGGAAGGAAAGGGGAGGGTGGGGGAGGGTGGAGAGAGGTGGGGGAAGGGAGGGGGAGGAGGAGGGAAGGAAAGGGAGGGAGGGAGGAGGAGGAGGAGGGGAGGGGGAGGTGGGGGAGGGAGGGCAGGTGGGGGAGGGGAGGCAGGACCCTGCTGTGAGTGCCAGGGGTCTGGGCGTCTGGGCTGTGCCTGGTGGGAGGCCAAACGCCTGCTGACCAGTTGGAAGCAGAGCACAGACGTGTGTGTTATTCTGACTCAAGGTGACCGTGCAGATACCCAGGTCCCACCCCACCCCAGTCCTGCACCCCTGGCCCCACCTCTGCACCCCTTTGCTCTGCAGTTGTTGGGGGGCCTCCCGGGAGCCGCTCCTCTGCTTTCTTGGCAGGAAGCCTCTGACCGGGGCGGACAGTCTCTGTGCCGACTGTCACGGCAGAAGGTGGCCGAGGCCAGGGAGCCCAGCCCTTGCCCTCACGCACAGGGACCTCTCACCCCTGCCTGCAGCCTGGCAGTCCTGGTCCCGGAGGGAGGGTGGGGTGCACTTGCCAGGCCTCTGAGCCCCAGAGAGACCGCCGTCTCAATTCAGCCGGACAGCAAAAGCCACAAGGAGACCGAGTTCTGGGGCAAACAGGAACAGCAGCCCCGGGCCCCAGCTCCTCCCTGCGCACTCCAGGCTGAGCCTCGGAAGCGCTTCACAAACACTGTCTCAAGCCCCTCCCCCCGGGCCTCCCTCCTGCACAGGGGCGGAGCCGGCCAAAGTGATGTGTGGGAGCCACTGGCCTGGAGGTGGAAGACCAGGCTTTGGACCCTGGAACCATGTGCCTCCTGGGGCCCGGCTGCCCCTCCAGCTTCTCGGCGGGGTTACAGGATGCGGTCAGCGACCTTTACTTTTGACTCTTGAACCTGACATGGTAAATTGGCACCTTCTCTTAACCTTCTCCATCATCCCTTCTCTCTGACACACGCATGCACACGTGCACACGCATGCACACAGATGTGCTCACACATACACACATGCATGCACACACATACACATGCACACACACACTCTGTCCCCAATGCAACATGGGTCACAGAACATTCTCTGGGAAGCCAGCCAGATGTCTGCCCCAGACTTCTGGGCAATTGGGTCTGTGTGTTCAAAGACCTGTAAGTAATAAGCTGACAGTTCAAATTTTCATGAGACATTAGGATGGAAAAGACATCTCATCACTAGACTATTAATGCTGGGCGGCCACCCTCTGCCATCCGCAGGATTCTGCGACTGTGGACAGCGCAGCAATGGTGCCGTCGGAGCCGCAAAGCCCCGCTCCGTGGCGGGCCCGCACAATCATTTGGAGCGTACACCGTCATGGAGGTGACAGCCCTCCGCATGCTCCCCGACATGCTCGTTCAGTTCAGGAGACATTTAATCAGCTCTCAGGTGGCAGTCTGTGGCAGGTCTCCAGGCCCTGCTCAGATGCTCTGGGAAGAGTCAGGCATGAGCCCGGCTTCGGCGACGCGGGAGCCGAGGTGAGTGGGCACGAGCAGAAGGCCGGGTCTCTTAGCAGGTGAGGGGAGGTGGAGGCTTCCCAGCACCTCCCACTGTCATGTGAAGTGCCCAGTGCGCCGTGGCTGGTGCAGATGGTGGACGTGTCTCTCTGAGGGGGTCTGCGGCACGGTCAGCACCACGCCAGCCAAGTCTGCCGATGGCTGCAGCCACCAACGCTGACTGCCGCTGGTCCCCGCTCAGGTCTACCCAACCTGCTGTCACCAGGTGGGAGATCAGAGGTGACGCCACGAGAACCGGCCACTTCTTCCAGGGAAAGGACTCAGGCCCGCCTGCCTTTCCCCTGGGAGCCTGGAGCTGTGCCTGGTCACCAAGGATGCTGGGGCACAGGGCGTGGGGTCGGCCTGCAGGCGGCGTCTCCGTGTGTCCGGTGCCTGGTCCTGTGCCCTGGAGATGCTGCTAAATCACTGCCGCAGGTCGACCCGCCTTTCACCCTGGGTTCTGCCGGTTGCTGCGTCCCTGGGGACTCCTCCACTTCTCTGCACCTCGTGAGATGCGGATGCCAGTCTTCACTTTGCAGGAGGGCTGTGCCAAGTGCAGGCAGGTACTGGTGCCTCCCAGTACCTGGTGTGTGACAGGTGTTCGTGAGTGACAGGCGCAGTTATAAAAATGGCCTGTTCCCTTATAACAAGGGAATAATGTAAAGGGAGCTTGAGAACCTGTTGGAAGACTTGAGTGGTTCCTGACCTGAGAATGATACTCCCCCTCTGAGAACGCTGTCAGGCAGAGGGGGCTACACTGGGGACCAAGACAAGGGGGTCCCTGCCCAGCGGCCTGATCTTGGTCAGCTCAAAGGGGCTGGCACATCTCTTCCCGAAGTCGCGATTCCGCCAGCTCCGAGGTCCCCACAGCTGTCGGACGTTACCCCAGACTCCGTGCCTGGCTCTGTCTACAGGCTCGGTGGGAGGAGGCTGCCTGGGGAGAGACCATGCCAGCTTCCGCGCCAACAGCTCAGTGAGGGTTTGAGGGACACTCCGGCAACCTGCTCTCAGTGGTCTCAGAAAGGGCAGCTTTCCGGTGCAGAGCGGGGTGTGGGCACCAAGCGCCTCCCCCATCGCTCTGGAAGGAGAGAGCGAACTTCACGCTCTCGGCGGAGACGCAGACCCGAGCGGCAAGAGGGCCCGTGCGCAGGCTTGTTCTAGGCCGAGCCAGGCGGGACACTGGCGAGTCACTGGACGCAGGACAGGCGGACACTCGTGGGTGGCATGGCTGTGCATATGGCCCACGGCCCCCGCTATTGACCAGGGTGTCGGGCTGAGCGTGCCGGGGCTGGGCTCTATTGCACCCGGCGGGCAGTGGGAACCCGGCCACTGCAGGTGTCCGCCCATCTTCCCCTTGCCTGTCCTTTAGGGCTTCCTGGTGCTGGGCCCAGGATAAAAAGTCAGGACGAGATTTGGGAAGCACCCGAGAGAGATTTTTACAACCCTTTTAGTTCTGAGTTAAACCTAAAGGATTCAAGGCTACAGAGAAAAGGCGCGCACCTTCCTCATCGAACCTGCCACGTCCACGTCCACGTCCACGTCCACGCTCACCCCAGGGCGCTGCCAGCCACCCCACAGCCCGCACCGCCGGCCAGACCCACCTGGTGACCACGTAGGGCGCGAAGCACACGAGGAAGGTCCCGATGAAGGTGCTGACCTTCTTGGTGGCTCGCTGGCGCCTCCTCTTCTGCTCCTCCAGACAGCGTTCCCGCACACTGCAGGGAGACAGGGGCAGGTGACTGCGGCCGCCCGTGTTCCCACGGGCCCGAGGGTGGGAGCTTGGCTACGCAGCCAGGGTGCCCGGGGCCAAGCCCTGGCCTCGCTGGCTGTGTGACCCCTGTGCAGCGTGGGTGGCCATCTCATAAAATGCCGCCGAGGGCTGTTTTGAGGATTACGGCACAGAGCACACAGATGCAATGTGTTCAATGCGTAACCCAGTCAGCAGTGTCCAAGCCAGTGCAAATCATACGAACTCATTCCCGTGACTCGCGCCGGCCACCGAACGCCAGCTGGGCACTAGGTTCTCTCTCTCCCGCTATCCTGACGACAGCGGGTCCTGCCAGGTGCGCCTCACCTGCCCTGCGGTACGGGGAAGCCCAGGGCTCAGTGAGGCCGCGTGAATCTGCTCAGCGGGGACGTGGAGACAGGATCTGAACCTGCGTCTGTGTGAACGGGCCTCCTGTCCTCCAGGGCGACCTGGCCCCAGGGCACTGTGAACGGGCCTCCTGTCCTCCCACCTTTCACCCCGTGCCGTCCAGCCCCAGGCCCCAGCCCTGCTGGGAGCTGCGGACACCACTCTATGGGGTCACCGAGAGAAGTCACTCAGTTCCTTCAGAAACCGAGCTCGGCGACGCTAAGAGACTGTGACGTCCCTGGAGAATCGGGGACACAGCCTTGAGGGGGACACAGCCGCCTACGCCTCTCTCCCACGCCCTGTCCCGAGAACAGACATGGGAGCCGTCTCCTGCAGCCACAGGGAAGCGCCGAGGACCCGCGAGGCGGCCGTGACCACCGTCCAGGAAAGGGGGGCCCGTGCTCCACCCCACGGGGCCCAATGGCGGCCTGTGTTTTTCAAAGTAAAGCACAGGGGTCCGGAAGTGAGCAGGGAGGGAGACTGGGCAGAGCTGCCCAGGGAGTGAAGACCTGCAGGCCAGGGCGGGGCCGCAGTGCCCTCGCTCGGAATTCGCTGGCTGCTGGACGGCAGCAGGGGCGCAGCACGGATGCCGGGCAGCCCCCCTCCTTCCCAGGATCCATGACTCCAGCTTCACCCAGACCCTTCCTCATCTGTCAAGTGCACGGAGGCCCCGCCTCCTGCGGGACTGTCCCCCTCGGCCCGGGCCGTTCTGGGAATGTAGAGAGTTGGAGAGGAGGTTCAATTGGCTTCGTACTGGCTGAATATTGATTACTCATGACTAATATTGCTAATTCCTACATCAATAACAACCCCCTGTCTGGAGTCTTTAATTAGATCCCGTGATCGGGGCTGCCATGTAGGGAGGTGCCGCGACATCACCTCGTCCGGAAAGTCTGAAGAGTACAGTGGGGGAGGGGCAGGTGGGTGACTTCGGTCAAGGTCACTTAGCAAGAGTCAGCCTTAAATCTCCGCGCTCCATGTACACCCGGTGTCTGCCGCTTAGCGCCAGGGCCGTCTGGCTCCGGCCGCGGGTGCGGGGCAGGGTGGACGTGGAGAGAACTCCCCACCCGCAGGAGTTCTGGGTGCCGTGAGGTGACCAGCTCATCTTGGAGTGCCCGAGGCTGTCTCCATTTTAAACCGCTAAGGCCTTCTTGTCCCAGGAAAACCAGGACAATGGTCACCCTGGAGCGCAGTGTTTTTTGGCATATTCTCCACAACACGGGACTTTTTGTTTTAACGTTGGGTATTTCTGCCCACGCCTTCAGTGCGATGGCGGTGAGACGTGCTGCAGATTTGGGAAGGAGCCGGGTGTGCTGGGCCGTCACGGTGCGTCACCCCGTGGGAGGAGAGCACTCGGGCCATCCCCGAAGATGAGCACCGAGCTCACACAGCTCAGCGAGGGGGTGGCGGCACTGGGGCCGGGCGCCCTCCAATCTGTGCCCCCGACAATGTCGTCCGTTTCTCAGATGCCTGAGAACCACCCAGAGGGTGTCGGGGTGGATGCTGCACCGGGACCCTCATGGGCCTGGCCACGCCCCTGCCCTGGGACAGACAGGCCGGACTCTGTCCTATGTCATGCGCGGTACGAGAGAGCCTCTCACCCACCCACCCAGCTCCCAGATGGGAAAACAGGGGCTCAGAGCAGGGAGGGACTTGCCCCCAGGAGTGGGGTACAGGTGAGGGTAGATGCAGTCGCTGGCTCTCGGGGTGGCGCTGCTGGTCAGAACCCCGTCTGCTCCCTTGAACTCTAGCAAACAAAGGGATGTACTTCTCTACCTGAGCTTCTCTGATCCCAGGACGGAGCAGGTTGGTGGGAGCAGGTGGGGGGGGGCAGCCTCAGGCTCCGAGGGGACAGTGCCGTCCTCACGCTTATCGCTGGGGGGCAGCACAGTCTCAGAGGCTCGCCACGCCCCGAGCAGCGGCAGGGCGACTGGGCACTTGCCATCTGTGCCCTACCGCTCACGGCTCTGCCAAACCCAGCTCCTCGGACGCTTGCAGCCCCGAGAGCTGTGATCTCATCGGCAGACGAGGACACTGAGGCCCAGCAAGGTCTATGCCATGCCCAGGGTCACTCAGTGAGCTGGGCACAGACCAGGATTCATTCCAAGTCTCCTGACTCCAAGATCTGGGGTGTGTCCTCCAGACCCCGCTGCCTCCCACAGATTACTGGGCGGTGAGCGAGCTGCCACACGGATTCTCCAGGTATTCCCGGGCCGCTGGTGGCCCTGGAGGACCTCAGAGCCCGGGCAGTGCAGGGGCTGGTGGCCCCGGAGGACCTCAGACCCCGGGCAGTGCAGGGGCTGGTGGCCCCGGAGGACCTCAGACCCCGGGCAGTGCGGAGGGCTGGTGGCCCTGAAGGACCTCAGACCCTGGGCAGTGCAGGGGCTGGTGGCCCTGGAGGACCTCAGACCCCGGGCAGTGCAGGGGCTGGTGGCCCTGGGGACCTCAGACCCCGGGCAGTGAGGGGGCTGGTGGCCCTGGGGACCTCAGACCCCGGGCAGTGAGGGGCTGGAGAGCAGAGGCCCCCTGGGCAGATGTGAGGCCCAGAGACAAGCATGGGGCCAGCAGTCCAGATCTGCTCGGTGAGGGGAGCGCCCCACTCTCTGGCTCTCCCAGGGTGCTCCCCTGTACAATCGAGGGCACAGTGAGGTACCTCCACAGGCTCTTCCATCCACTATGCCACAGTCTGGACCCTCCCGTGGCACTCAGCCGCCCCAGCAGACCTCGGCCCCAGGGTGCGTGCTCCCCCATCCTGCTCCATGACGCCACCTCCCTGCCGCGGGTCCCCCTGTGTCCCACATCAGCAGACGGCCGTCTGGCGGCACCAGGTGGGGACCCGCATAACGAGTCCGGAGCTGTGGTTTGGGAGCCTGAGCCCAGCCCGCTGGACAGCTGGAGGGCCAGGTGGGAAATGCACGCCAGGAACCCACGTTGCTCTGTGGCCGCAGTGACCGGAGAAACTGCCACAGGAAGGCAGGCGTGGGGACTGTCTCAGGGTCCCAGGTTTGACCCAGAACAGAGGGTCCGCGAGATTTGCTGACGTCGAAGCGAAGGAGCCCGGCTGCCACTCGCCTCGGTCAACACTGTGGGACAGTGGGCACCACCAGGGAGCTTCTTGACCACCCTGGGCCTCAAGGAATGCAAACCGGTCCCTCTTAATTAAGCCTCAGGAGGTCGTGACTGTGGTGGCCAGTGAGCAGTGCTGCCCTCGTCCAGATTAGGGAGCCTGGCTTTGGCTGACCTGCCATGGTGCCCCCAGGTGCCCGGCTCTCGGCACCAAACCAGCCCAGGAGGTTGGGCTGGTCTTCCTGGGCCCTGGGTGCCTAGGGCTTGGGGTGCTAGGGGCGGTCCCCGAGTTAGCTCTGCAGTGTCTCATTTGTGCAGGGGAAGAACGGAGAGCGAGAAAGAAGACTGGGTCAGCTCTCAGGGAGCCGTGCCCGCCCCCGTGGTCCACGGGCCACCCTCTCACTCTGGGGACACAGCCCCCAGAGGGAAGCAGGCGGTGCTCTCCGAAGGGGCAGTGAGCTCTGTCACCGCCTCTGTCTGTGACCTCAGGCCAGCCCCAGCCGGCACCACCCAGTGGCACCTGGTCCCAGAAGCCCTTCCCGCCCCAGCAGGTGGGTGCTGCCCCTTGGCCCTGCAGGGTCCCACGTCCTGGGGGCAGGGGCTCCTCAAAGCATTCTGGGGCTTAGAGAAGGTCAGAAAGCCCTGGAGGTGGGAGGAGGGGAGAAGAGGGGACCGGGGTCAGCAGAGCAGCTGTTCCTGCTCCCGAGACCCCTGAGCTCTCGGGGTGGAGAGTGAAGCCGGCCCTACACCCTAGATGGGTTGAGAAGGAGCCATAACCCCCTTCTGGACGCTGGAGGAGAGCGAGACGGCGTGTGAACCGATCAGAAGAACTGATCCCTTTCGTGCCCGGCCCTCCTGCACTGGCAGACCACCGAGACCACCCACTGAGGAAGGGTCCAGTCCCGGCCCCCGTCCTGGGGCTGCACTTTCTAAGGTGAGGCCCCGCCCCTCGTGCTCAGAAGGGGCTGACTGCCCTGCAGCCGTGGCCTCGGGAAACGTCCCTAAATGCCGGGACCCCGTGGACGCGTGCAGTGAGCCAGTGCGCACGCGGGTGGCCTGCGCACCGTGCTGACCTCTCCGGTACACACGCAGTTGCTATGTGAACACAGGGCTTGCGAATCCTCATGGGATTCATCAGCATAAGCCGGGAAGGCCGTTGGAGAGGGACAGTGAACACCGACAGGTGTGCCCTGTGCAGACATGAGGTTCAAAGACTTCCCTTCCATGCTCACAGGCAGGAAAAACTCGGGCCGAAGGAACCTCTGCTTAGACTGACACCTCCGGTCTGTCCCTCAGCCATGAGGTTGCTTCTCCCTGGGAGGGGGATTCACGCCTGGGGAGCGCCCTCCCTGCCCCCGGCCACCCCCATCAGGGCTCTCTGTCTGCTTCACTGTCCTGCCTTCTGGGAGCCAAAGTCCCCTTATCGAGGGTCCTGGGCAACAGAGCCTGCCCCTCCCTGGGCCACTGGGATACAAAATAGCAGAGGCCACAGAGACGCCACCAGCCTGTCCCCCTCCTCTCGGAAGGAAAGCTGAGGTGAGCTCAGGACGCCTCCGCCAATGTCTCCTTCTCTCTAGGGGAGTCTCAGGGGAGGGCAGAAGTTCCCCGGGGGTACTTGCACCTGTCCCCCCCCAAGCTGCCTTCCTGTGAAACAGCCGCCAGGTGAGGGTGGAGGGGGTGGGAACCTCAGAGGTGACACTGTCCATCTGTGGGCATCTGGGCTCTATGTCCAGGAGACACAGGGCAGCGCTGTCCTGGAAGGACAGGGAGAGGTCCCCGCCCCCCTCTCCTCGGGCCCTGCGGATGCTCCTTCCAGGACCCACAGAGGGAGGCGCAGCCTCGGACTCGCCCGCACACACGCGCGCCAGGAGGCAGGCCGCGCAGAGCCCGGAGGAGCAGCTCGTCCCAGTGTGAGAGCCCTTGAGGAGCCCCCCAGACATCTCGGCCACTCTCTCAGGGCCCCAGTGGAACCTTTAGAGGCCCCCATAGGCTGTTGAAAGTGGAAACCACAAACACATAAAATTAGTATAAGAAGTCCAACGGGATTCTCACCGTGACTTTCACCCTGATGCTTCAAAAAGCATGTATACTGTTTGGCCCACGTGTCTGTCTTAAGACAGGCAGGGCCCCCCCCCCCCCCGCCCAGTTTCCCAGAGAGAACATGGAGACTCAGGGGCAGAGGTCTTGTCCAAGGCCACACACTGCAGCATGGGGTTGTATGAGCCCCCTTCCCCCACAAAGACGCCCTCCGCACCGAGTCCCAGGCGCCGGCCCAGCGCCCTGCCTGGGGCGCCCTCACCTGGGGTGGATGTCCACGAGGAGGACGAGGGTCTGCATGGTGATCACGTCAATGCGCTTGCAGTGGAAGCGGGCCACCTTGAGCACCTTGACGTAGGAGCAGCAGAGCACAACGAAGGACAGCAGGAAGCTGAGCGCGTGGAAGGCGCCGGTGAAGACGGCGAAGCGCAGGCGCTCGTCCGGGCGGCGGCTGCACAGCGTGCAGGACGCGTACAGCTGGTGGAAGCCCAGCCAGGACAGGGCGAGCGCGGTGGCAGGGAAGGTGAGCGCGTGCAGCCACGTGTAGGCCACCATGAGCGCGGCATCGCGGAGGCGCATCTTGGCACGGTAGCTCAGCGGGAAGACCACAGCCACCCAGCGGTCAATGCTGAGCGCGGCCATGCTGAGCATGGAGTTGGTGGCCAGGAAGGTGTCCAGGAAGGCGACCAGACGGCACAGGCGGTCGCCAGCCGGCTGCCGCTGCGCCACGACGCCAGCCAGCGTGAGCGGCATGTTGACCACGGTGCACAGCAGGTTGCCGCACGTGAGGTTGAGGGTGAAGAGCGCGGGCGCCTGGCGGCGGATGTCGGCGCTGTGCAGGAGGCAGAGCAGCACCAGCGCGTTGGACAGCAGCGAGACGCCCATCGTGCCCACCAGCAGCCCCGCCAGACCGGCGTCCCACGAGTTCATGGTGCGCGCCTGCCGCCTGCGCTCAGGGTCCGCAGTCCGGCGCCACCGCGGGGCAGCCCACCGCCCGGCGACCCCTGGTCCCCGCAGCCATAGCTCCCTGGAGGGCGCGCGGCCCCGCCGGAGCCCCGTGCCTCCTCCCGGGCCAGCACCTCGGCGCGCAGCCCCGCCGGAGCCCCGCGCCACCTCCCGGGCCAGCGCCGGTGCGCCGCCGAATCAGGAGCTTTCAGCGCCCTCGGATCCTGGATGCAGGCGCCTGCGCCCCCGCGCGCTGTCTCCGCTTCCTCCTGCCCTCACCCCATCCCTCTGTCTCCGCTCGCGCACCCTCCTGCTCCCTGGCTCTCTTCCTCCCCTCTGTCTGCTCCGCTCGCTCGCTCTCCCTTTCTGCGCTCCCCTCCACCTCTCTCTCTCCCCCTCTCCTCTCCCTCTCTCTCTCTTCTGCTGTGCTCTCTTTTCTCTCTCCCACTGCTGTGTCTCCATCTGTCTCTCCCACCCCCAATTTTCTCCTCGCCTCTTGTTCTTCCCTCTCTCCTCTCTGGGGAATCTGGTGGCTTCTATCACAGAAGTCTTCATGATGCGCGTGCGCACACGCGCGCTCACACACGCACACACACACACACACTCTGAGAGAACCAGCCCTGAGGGCTTCCGGGCAGGGTGACTGGTTCCTTGTAGCTGTCCCACCCCCTCACCCCTCTGTGTGTCAAAGCCAGGCTGAGTCTAGGAAATCTCTCTGAGAAAGGGGGGGGGTGCACCTGGGCACCTTCACACCTCAGTGCCACCTGTCCCAAACTGAGCCCTGGCCCGGCGAGACCTGGACATGGAGGTTCTACCCAACCTGTTCCCCCTGAGCTTCCCAGGGCTGATGCTCTTCCCTCTCTGGGCTGAGCTGGGAGCTCGGGAGGCTCCTTTTGCTGAGAGGGAAAGGAGCCCCATTTCTCCATTCAGTGACCAGGGGTCTGGCTGAGGGCAGCAGCTTAGCAGCTTCCCCTGGGGGGGGGGGCTCAGTCTAGGGTGCCCTCTTCCCATCACCTGTCAGCTCAAGCTTCAGCAGCATCCTCAGGCCTGGTGGGGGAACACGGAGACTCACTGTGACACCCTGAGCATCCGCAGCCCGGAGAGGCCTTCGTCTGACCCTGACCCGAGGGCCGCTCAGATCCATCTGTGCACAGCCAGCCTCAGCAGAGCCTGGTGTGGCGGATGCTCAGCACCCCTCCGAGTCCCGGCTGCTGCCGTCTGCCTGTCAGCTTGCACACGTCTGCCTGGGTCTGCGAGGCAGCACGCTCCAGTCGTGGGGCCTGAACGATACATGCGTGTTTCAGACACGGCAACGGAGGCAGAAAGAGTACACGTGACAGAATTGGTAGAGAGCGAAGCCAGTCCCTCTAGCTCCACAGACTGGCCCTTTCTGCGAACGACAGAGGTCCTCGGTCCCCTTGGCTGCAGCCGGACTGGGCCTCCCTGAGCCTCGCGGGATAGTTTCCTACACGGCCAAGGAAAGCAGAGGCCTGCTCCTGGCCTTGACGCGGCGTCTCCATGGCCCCTGTGGAGGACTCAAGAATCCGGCCATTTGATTAGGGGCCGTGAACTCTGGAGCTTGGCGTGGGGACCACACTGTGGCCAGATCAGCATGTCATCTTCTCCAAGCTGGAGAGGAGCAATGGGAGGGTCCATGACAGCGTTCACGTGAGTCAGTGAGTGCAGTGACGGCCCTGAGGGAGGGCTCCAAGCAGGACTGAGTCTCACCCTTCTAGATGGGTTCCCACAGCTCCACGTAGAGGCAGGCTCAGTCCCCCAACATGGGCATGCTGGCGGCAACCCTCCGGCCAAGGCGCCACGGGTCCATCTTGACGAGTGAAGGAGCTGAGACCAGAAAGGTCCACAGTTGGCCAAGGTCACTCTGGTTAGCGCCAATAGAGAGAACAGAATGAATCAATCCAGATGGCAGAATCATTACGGGACCTGGCGCTCACCTCTGGGTGACATGCAAATCCATGTTCTTTCCACTGAGCACACACAACACGCGTGCTCCTAGCGAGAGGTGGGAGACTGAGGTGGTCCTCTCCACGGCTATTTTTGCAAAGAGTTGAACAGAAACTGGACTGTCACCAACGCCCCCAGAAGAGGCCACCCTGAAGTGCGTGGACACAGCACATCCCTCTGAGGAGTGGGAGGGGTCTGGGTTTATACAAGTGGGGGATGGGCTAGGAGCTGGCATTCCAGGGGCCAAAGCCTGGTGCGTGTTTGCGGTTCTGCAGAGAAGGTGGGCCTGCAGAGAGCCAGAAAGAAAGATGGTGGCAAGTCCCAATGCCAGCCCAATGCCAGGCTGAAGGACAGAAAGGTCAGTTGCCTTCAGATGGCACCTTCCAGGACCTAGAGCATCCAGCCACCCCAGGGACGCATCTCCACCAGAGCCACGCAGGAGGTCTCCGTGTTCAAAGCGCTCACACACCTGCTATGTCACGTGACCCTGTGCAACCCTGGGAGTCCTGGGGTTGACAGAGATGTTGCCATTGCACAGCAAGGAACTAGATGCCAGAGGTGATGTGCTTTGCACAGGGACATGTGGCTGGTGAGCTGCCCTAACTCACTGTCCAGCACCTCCCTGCTGCCAGCTGCTGCCCACTGCAGACTGGTCTCTCTCTCCAGGAGGGCCGTTCATGCTTAGCCCTGCACCAGCCCTTAAGCCAAGCCAGCAGAATCAGGTGGCTAGAGTCCATCCAACAGAACCGTCAGGCCTCTGGCTCCCTTGCCCCTGTCAGGGAGGAGAGGACCTGGCTCTCTGGACAGGGCCTTTGCTACTCTTGTGTCTCCATGGCTGTCCCAGCCCCAGAGGCCAGACACGGAAGGAAGTGGGTCCAACGGACAGAAGGAGGAGCCTGCAGTCTCTGTGGGTGACCTTCTGGGGAAGTTGAGGAACCATGGTCTGGTGGACTCGGGGTGCTGGGGACAGTTATCGAAGGCTTGCTGTGATGCAGACACTGCCTACCTCATTTAATTCGCCCTTCTCAGCCTCCCTCTAGGAGAGAGGCTGTAGTTACCCCATCACACCGATGGGGACACTGAGCCTGAACGATAAAGCAGCCGTCCGGGGTGCCAGGACTCCTGGGGGGTGATGAGACCAGACTCCCCGACTCGGCCCCCGTGCTCCTGGTCACTGGTCGGTCCCTCCCATCTTCTAGTGATGTGCAGTCAACCACCACTCATATTCTTTTACCCTTTGCCCCCCTTCCCAGACTGGATGCTCGGGCCAGGTGCCAGCCGGGTGGTGCGGGAAGTCAGCGTGTGCACATGTAGAGTCATCTGAGAACTCCCTGGGGCCCAGGCCTGCGGCTGAGCAGTGCTGTTCATTTCTCAAGCCACTGTTGGCAGGACGGAATGGCTTCCAGTGGAGGGAGGGTGATGGGGCTTTGCAGCTCAGCAGCCTGCCCAAGCCCCACAGCGCGTGGCCGGCCTGAGCTCAGGATGCCCAGCCGCCCCGGCTCAGGCCTCCACCAGCTGCAGCACGGAGCCCACCGCTGGGCACACAGAAGGAGCCGCAGCCCAGCTAGCGTCAGCCGGGACCACACGCCGGGCCATCCCTCTCCCCTGGACTCACACAGTCAGCCAGGGGGGTTGCACTTTGCCTGGAAACTCCATTAAACCGTGGCAGCGGCTTCTTTCTGTGCGAGCTGGACGGGCTCCAGAAGAACAGAGACATGCGGCTGATCTTCCTGAGTGTTGGGCTGGGAGGCACTGAACCGGCCCGTGGACAATGGCCTCTCCGAGGGGGGATCGGCTTCCGAGGAGGTGTGTTCATTTCCTGTCTCTGAGCTGCAGTGAAGCTTGTCTTGTATCCCCAGGACCAGAGCCTTCAGAGAGCTATTTCTCCAGGTCCTTGTCCCACCCCTGCCTGGCAGTTCATCGGGGGTCCTGCGTGGCTGGAAGGCTCCGGCTCCTGCCCAGGGTTGAGTCCCAGACAGATCAGCACTGGGGCGGTGGACAGCTCCTCTCCTCCCATCCCTCTCCCTGCGGGATTAGCCAGACACAGCAGCAGCAGCTGCCATTTACTGAGCAGATACCGGACTGTTTCCTCCCATTTAGCAGATTCAGAAACAAAGGCTCATGGCCACACCTCTAGTGAGGGGCAACTCCAGGTCTGTTGGGTTCCAAAAACAATGCCACCCCATCATTTCGAAAAGTGGGATGTTTATAAACCGTGTCTTCCACTCCCTCTGTGCAAGCCCCCCCTTCTAACACACCCACGGCCAAGTGCACGGCTGGCTGCTCCCTGTCCTGTGTGGTCTGACTTGCTCTGGCTCCGCGGCGCTTCCTGGGACCTGCACCTCTGTGGGTACGTTCCCAGGGGTCTGAAAGGGAGACTCCCTCTGCTGGTGATTCTGAAGTCACCCTAGGTGTGCCCTCAGCAGGCCATGGGAGGGGGCCCTGGTCTGAGTATCATTTGTCAGTTCTTGTCCGTGGGAGGAGCCTCGGGCTGGCAGCCCTGTGCAGACAGCGCCCCGCACTGGAAGCCAGGAGTCAGGATTCTGGTCTTGTCACTTCCCAGACGGGCTGCGCCTTTGGGCAGTTCTCGCCCTTCTCCTGACCCCGAGACCCTCCCTGTGAAGGGTGTAGATGGAGGAGGCCACCTCCCGTGTGACCTTCGGCTGCCTGAGGAGGCCACACCAGGGATCTCGAAGGGGACAGACAGCAGGAAAAGGGGGCAGAGCCAGGCATCATAGGGCCTCCTTCCTGTTCGCCTGGAACCCAACCCCTCCTGCTGCAGAGGCAGCTGAAGCCCACGCATCACTCCTGCCTCAGGGGTCTGCATGGGTGGGTGTGGGGGAGGGCTCACCTCTCCAAGGGCCACTGGCTGAACAATCACAGCACGCCCAGCTCCGGCCCTCACCGCACCCAGGGGCCTGTGTGTGCCCATCAGGCTGCGGTGTGTGCATCTGGGACAGAGCCTGCCTGCGGTCTGCTGGGGACAGAGGCCGTGTGTGCATGAGTATGCACACCTATGTGTGCACGTGTGTGTATGTGTGCAGGAGT